TTTCCGTCGGAGTCTTTGTTCGAGAATAGGAAAATTAAATCCAATGCTGTTCCTTTACATAGTATAATCAATACGCAAGAATCAAGACAAATTAGTCCAAAGGTATTTAATTTATTTGCTTAACACAACAAATCCTATGCCTTCAAAGGAATTTTCTTCATCTTAGAAATTGAGAGTTCTGATAGACCCAGCAAAATCACTTTTTTATATCAATGGTAATAAGGAGTTTCAAGAATACAAATTAATTGAATTGATTCATTCTAAGATTGATTTCACACCCATAAATACATTCCTAGTGTTTAATATGTTAAAGTGTGGATGTATATATATATATGTATACATTTTACAGTGATGAGGAAAGAGTCAATTTAATGTTCAAATGAGCAGTATAAATGGTAGAAGAGGTGGCAAACCGCCGTTCCGGTGAGTTTCATGAACTAGTTCGGTTGCTCCAAAGAACGAAACAAATAATATTTCTTTTGTGCGTGCATAGTATTGAAGTAGTGAACCTTTAAGACGTTTCATCCTAAAACAGTAAAAGAAGGGAGGGGGGGGGGGGGGGGGAAATGAGGTTTCACTGAAAGCGGCTTCTTTCTCTTTAGTGAGATGAACTTACCACTGCAGAGTTTTTGAAATCAAAGTCAGCCTCGAGGGAGCAGAGTAGATCGGAAGAAAGATAACGTACCGCATTGGAGCTTACTGCACTGGAAACGGCAAAGATCCTCTTTAGGGAAGATCGACGATCAACCAACTAGATGGAAGAGTGATAAAGGGAGCCATTGAAGAGTAGATGAGTAAATGGATCTCTGGTTGTTTACGTGTTTAGGAAGATACCAAATTATCAGCACTAGTTATTCGAATACATGGAAATGAATAATGCAAAGATCGTTTCCATTTCCAAACGTTCTATGTGCCCGAAGGATATGAAAAATTGTCGTGCAAACGCAATTTTTACGAAGCAGACTAATAATATAATCACTTTAATTTTGAGGGAGTAAGTTGCTTTCCATTAATTTTGAAGATGGGATTTAGGAGTGTATCAGCGAAAGGTAGGAAAAATTCAAACGATCTTAAAGTGAATATCCACTGTCCGTCATAAATTAATTCTCCACAGTATCAAGGAGAGGGACTACGTTTTCATTATCTGGAAAATCTCTGGAGATAAGAATTAACTGAACACCGGAGTTTTGCTCTGCAAGTCAATAGGAAAGATTCGGATAAATTGCTGATTGAAGGTACAACTGCGGTTGAGCCTTGAGAGTCATTAAAATCTGCTTATCCAGTCACAGTCAACAAGTGTAGAGAGCAGATGGAATTCCTTTTGTTTAATGACAAAAACTTGGACCAATATTATCCGTCAGTATTGATACCTTGCAGTGAATGCGTAATAGTTTGATAATGTGAACTCTAGGTTTACCAGTCATTCAATTATTGCATAAAACTATGAATTAGTCAATTATATTTAAGCAGTTTTAGTTGTTTACTTGAGATGGAGAAACTAGAGGTGAAAAAAATAATTTAGATTTAGGCTTCATTGAAATCTTGATTTTCACTTGCCTTTATACCTTGTAAGATTTAACTCGACCTTAGTACAAGTATACATAAGCATATATATATGCATATATATATAAATTTTCACAACTCTTCAATTAAGTTACTTTCAACTAGGTTGACCACTGCTCTCAGGTTGGAAACGCTGACTCCATTAAAACTCACCTTAAGCTTTGAAGAGGGATTGAGGATAATAGCAGAACTGGAATTTGTCTCTGTTGCATTTGTCGAACGCTGTTTGCGGCTCCAAGTTGATTGTCCTAACAGTTCGGAAAAATTTTTCGAAAGGTGCCTACGCAAAAGTGTTCGATTTGGTCCGATTTCGAGTAAATTAGCCAAAGTATCTACTGTAAATCGATCCTCATAGACCTTAAAATAATAAAATTGAATATAAAACCCCGTGAATATATAGCCTAAATTACATTCCATATCTTACCAAAAGAGCACCATGAAGTCCACTATTCCGCAAACTGGAGACATATTCTGGGAGTTCAATCTCCCTCAACCAGGCTTCCAAACGACAACAGGTCCAAAACTCAGGAGAAGCTGACGGTTGGGATGGAGTGTTGGAAGATAAAGAGGAAGATTTGGAAGGTGAGTTCTCTTCTCCTTTAGGTGGTGTACTTTCCCTACACACTGTACCTGCAGATACAGACGTTGACCTGAAGGGAGGATGGAAAATTTAATTCTATGGCTCTCGAAGAGAACGACGAGCTTGTAAACTTACCTATGGATGGTAGAGGCCATTTTAAATGATGGTGATTGTCTTATGCGCACACCGGGGGTAGAGTGGGAAGAATTTGTCATAACCGATGGTATTTCTGAGAAAGTGGGAGAGATATCATCTGGAGATCCATTGCTATTACTCTTAAGATAGCTTGAGTTACCATTAGTGATAGGAGATTTGGGCGAATGCCGACAGAGTCGAGAAAGATCGAAATCAATCTGACGCAGGAGTTGGAGTCCTCGACGCATTGAGAGCATATGGAGTTCGCTGTCAACTCCCAGTGATTGAAGCTCCGACTGAAATGAGAACAGTGATACAGACCATACAATGTAACACTTATTGAAATCTCAAGTTAAGGTCTTCCTTTTTTAAATATAGAAGTCAAACAGAGTTTATCATCTTTGCCGATCAAGTTAGTCATAAAGCAACGTGTCTCCCAACAAATATCTTGGAGAGAAGATCAAGCCTAAGCTCTTCTATTTTTTAACTCGTGGTTGAAAAGTACATCAGCGTGAAAATTTACCCTAATATCCTATTGTTCGCCGCTGCAAGCTTAGCTACCACTTTTTATGTGACGAGAAATTCAAACGATAAAATGATTCCAATAAATTCTTCAATGGACTTAATACAATACAATTGATTTACAAACCCAACTACTGTTTACTTTGTGCTGAAATTAGATCCGCAAGACTTCCTCCTTAATACCTTTTTGAAAAGGCTGGCTTAGTAGAGGGCCAGACAGACTTTCAGCCTGTTTCGTCCCGTTAGGAAGAGGGCGTTTAGGAAAACTATCAAACACTAACCTGTCCCAGCAGTGATGAAGATGTCCCCGAGATTTTCTTAAATTTCATGGCCTGAATTCGATCGAAACGCGATTACTTTAGGAAAAGACGTGGTCAACAGGGATAGAGTTGGTGGTATTAGTCATTCCCTCTTCCCCCCCCCCCCCCCCCCCTCCCTCATCACCAACCTCTCCCCAATTAATGGGTTTTAATGACTGTCTGAAATGCGCAGTACTTTTCCGTTTGCATCATCATCATCACTTCCCAATGCATGCCTTGGGTTCACTCAAGAATGCGGCCCATAATACTATTCCGTCACCAAACACAATCCAGTGCAGTCTTTTGACATTTAAAGGTACGAGGGGGAAGGGGGGGCTACGCAAAAACGAAGTTTCCAGTACGATAAGCAACACTTACCAAAGTGAGCTCGTGAAGGACATAAGCATCGATAAGTTCAGCTTCAAAGTTGGTCTTGTACATTGGAAGTCCTATATCGTCGAGCCAAGCTATAAGTAAGAGGAAATGAATGTGGTCGTTTGCAGATGTGTGAGTCGATAAGGAATGTCTAGTAACTATGTCATTTCCAATGAATCACATCAGACAATTTGGGAAGTTCAGCAGTGAATGCGTTGGCATAAACTACAGGGAATGGTTGCCAGGCCCGGTTTTTTAGGCAAAGAAATTTCTCTATGCACCAACCGTCAAAAATACCCCTCCAAATTTGCTAACTTTGTAGTCTTATTCCCCGAAAAATCGTCGAATATCGTCAGTTCAATAA